GACCAGTCCCAACGTTCGTTTCTTATTTTATTTTATTTATTTGAAAAAAAAGGCGACGGCCTTGAGATATCATCATCGAACGGACCGGCCCTAGTTAATTCAAAATCATACTATTTCACTCGTTTGCTTCCCCTGGAGTTCGAACTCGGGTCCGTATTACAAGAATTAGGGGGTGTACCAACTGGCTACGGTACGAACGGCCAAGTTTTGAAATCTGGGCCGCTGGCCTACCGGGGGCAAGGTCCCACTTGCGCAAATTACGATATTTCGGCCGTTGATATTTGCAATCTACGGTCAGTATCTCTTCATTCGTGCAAGTGGGACCAAGCCCCGGTAGTAGTACCGGGAGGCAGAGTCGCCGATGCCCTCGATGTTCGCTATAGGTTTCTCACACATTAGCAACTCTTCACTTTCTCTTCTTGATGGCCTTGAGATTGCCCTCGATGTTAAAAACCAAGCCCTACCCCTGCAGTCATACGGAGAGCCAAAAAGTTCCGAGAGAATGTAGATTCTCTTGGAGCCTATTCACACAGGCACTTTCGTGGATGTATCCGGGCACAATCACGAACCTCACAGATGTACATGACCCCAATTACGGCCAGAGACGTGTCAACCGAGTCCTACTAATAGCGTGCGAACTATTTTGCCCTTATTCTCTATCTTTAGTTTTCCCCTGCGTTCTCCACGGCCGTAATCAACTCTTTGCTCTGTCGTTCGCGGACATAAATGACACACCAAAAAAAAAAAAAAAAAAAAAAAAAAAGTATTTTTCCGGCAAAAGAAATAAAGAACGTGAACGGTGGGACACATATCAAAGGCGATAACTCGGCTAGGCGATAACGCACCTTGGGCCCTTCTCTCGAGGCCGGGTCCCGCTACTGTAGCAACAATGGATCGCATCAAGCGACTGACCGGGGGTACACGCGGAGAGGCAGATCGATTCGCGATTTTCTGCATCTCTCCATGAACGCGTCCACATTCGGCCATTGAATGCAATTCCCTTTGCCAGTTGGATCAAGCGACTGACCGGGGTACATGCGGAGAGGCAGATCCATTCGCGATTTTCTACATCTCTCCACGAACACGTCCACATTCAGGCATTAAATGCAATCCCCTTTGCCAGTTGGATCAAGCGACTGACCTGGGTACCCGCGTGAGAGGCAGATCAATTCGCGGTTTTCCGCATCTCTACCACGGACACGTCCACTTTCAGGCTTAAATGCAATCCCCTTTGCCAGTTGGATCAAGCGACTGACCGGGGCCGGCGGAGAGGCAGATCAATTCGCGATTTTCTGCATCTCTCCACGAACACGTCCACATTCAGGCATTAAATGCAGTCCCCTTCGCCAGTGGGACCTCGCCCCAGGCATCAGTCACCACGATCTGCCCACTATAGCATTCGCTTTCGTTCTCTCGTCTTCCCTCCTTCACTACCGTCGTCCACCGAATAGAACGCCCCGGCCCAATACCCAGCTAAAATGACTGGGCGTTCCAGCACGGCAAAGAAAGTCTTAGAGATGAAGAAAAAGAAGAAGACGAAAGAAGCAACAAGTAATCCCGTAAAATCCCACTCAGCACCAGCTGATTTCGTCAGCATTGCAGAAATTATCGAACAGCTCCGAGTCTTCCTCCTCCGCAGTGTGCCCCAAATGCTCAATCCGAAAAAACGGAAAAACGTACAACCTTACAATTCATTCTTTCTGATGACGGATGTAGAGGCAGATTTTCACGCAATGCTCTCTCCCTCTGCCCAAGTCCTTGTCGCTAGGAATGTTCTCCCGCTGCCAAGCCACGTGTGTATAGCATGTACATAATGTCCACGAAATGGACACCAGCTACATGCCTATACATACGTCCATATACATCTATACATTTGTATCTATAGATGTATATGGGTGTATGTATATATACACACATTTCAATAAGACATTGCAGCGGATTTCACTTCGCTTTCAGATCGGGCCCACTGGAGGACTTTCACGCAGAAGATGGAGACAGCACCATTCTTAGCCTTAAGTTCTGTTTTTTCCCAGCCTCTCAATGACAGGGAGGAACACACAGGCGTAGAAAAGGGCAACTCACAGTCACGAGGGCTATAACGACACAACACGCAAATATATAAATATATATATATATCGTCAAATATATATATATATATACATATATAGTCACACTCACAGTCACTAAGAGCACGTTTGAAACAAGTTTTTGAAGAAAGGCGCATCGGGCCCGTTCCCGGCACGTGATGCTCCTACGATACACTCGAACGCCCACAAGCAGTACACAAAGAAACAGAAAGCAAGCCCGACCATCGTTCTTTTTCTCTTTTCGTTCTTTTTCACCTCTCTCAACTTCTTGTTTATTTGGGTGCCGCAAAGTTTTCTCATCTATGTGTGGTTGAGCAGGGAGGCGCTCACACACCAATCTGTTTGCTAGAAGCACACAAACACCTTGCCGAGAAGTACAAAAGCAGTAGTAGTCGTAGTGGTAGTAGTAGTAGTAGTAGTAGTAGTAGTAGTAGTAGTAGTAGTAGTGAGCATATGGGTGAGAAGGAGCTGCGAGGTTCAAAGCCGGCTTTTCAGTAGGTAATAGAACAAGACCGATGCTGGTGATGGGGATGATGACAGACAAAGTCAAACACAGGCGGTACTCACACTAAGACCTTTTCTACACAGCTCTGAACGTGATTGCGGCCAGATACACCCAGGGCCCCACGTTATTGCAATCAGATGCATGAAGAAAAGTCCTGATGTCAGTACGGCCAGACAAAAAACTCGATGATGTGCAGGCACAGTGGCCACATCGACACCACATCGGGACCACATCGGCACACACTGCCAACGACGAAACTGGAAATTGCGTTTATTTCCTGCTTCTTACTTAAACCGGAACGCTTCCGTATCGCGACTTAATGATCCTCAGCGGGACAGCATGCTCACCTCCCCTACCAGACCATACGGAGTCATTACAGACCGTTGCCACAGACAGCTGCTGCCCGGTGAACATAGGCAGAACGAGCCAAAGAAAGAACGAAAGCGAAAAGAAAACGCGGTGGGTGGGTGGGGGAGGGGGAGGGGGGCGCGAGCTGTGACACACTGTTTCGTCGGAGTTTCACCGACTCGTCAGGAGGATGAACCCTCGACAGTCTGCAGTGCATAGTCCCCTAACAGATAATAGTCTACGTGATAATCCACCCTCTTAACCCCAGTTCCGGTGGGCTAAATCCAACCGCTGCACCACAACAACAAGTACCCCGAGGTGGGTACCAACCACTCATACTGCAAGATATGATCCACCTTTTTTTTTTCTGATGACCCTCATGTTGCCATGAGGGGACCCATCTTGAGTCCACACTATACATCGAAGAACTCCAATACTTTTCTCAGATAGCGGTTGGGCTTAGTAAGTTTACTTTCCCACCCTCTGAACCACACGTGATAGTTTCCCATCCAGTTCCAGGTGGAGTTAATCCAACCGCTGCCCAAGAACTACTACCCCGAAGTGGGCACCAACCACTGTCCTCTGCGCTACCTGTGACCATCATCACAGGCGACGTTCACCGACTCACGCCAATACCCACACACACACACACACACACACACACACACACATATACAGGTATTGGAGAGCTTGAGGACAACAAATGTGTGTGTATATATACATGTAGACATATAAATTATATACCTCAGCCGCTCAGCGACAATAAGAACCGGAAAAAAAAGGCAACAACCGAGCATGCGTTGACTCCCACTGGTTCTATCCTCTTCTTTGGGATTTCGTTTTCTCTCCATCCTCACAACCTGCGAGAGGGAAGAGAAGATCAACCAATCTCTCCTGCATGCCCTTGCAAGAGAAGATCAACCAATCTCTCCTGCATGCCCTTGTATGTGCGTTCCCTCCTCTCGCATTCCCTTTCCTCGTGTTCGACCGATGGCTTCAGGTTCTCCTTCAGCAGCCGGGTCAGTCACAGAAGGATCGAACTGTGGGCCGCAAGGCACAGGGATAGCGGGTCGCCTCCTGATGACACCGGACTGCAGACGTTTGAAACGCGTAGAGGAAGATGCACGTGCTAAATAAGTTCTGCAACAAGCCGGTTGACACAATGTCTCATTTTTCCTTCTTTTTTTATTTAACTACACAATGTCTCATTTTTCCTTCTTTTTTTATTTAACTACACTATCTTCGTCTCTCAATTTCTTTTTTTCGCCTTTCACTACCTACATTCTCAGTTCATTGCTGTTCTTGATAGTTGTGTCTTAGCCCTCCCTCCTCAGCCCCTCTCTTCTCCAACCTTATCAGTGGGCGATTCCTGTGCTACCCCCTTCTTCAACTGAGGGCATATACCTACACAAGGACCTTTTTGAATCGAATCTGCAGCACTGGCCGTAACTACGGACAGATACATCCTCGTCTGGCCGTAATAGCGGTCAGATACATCCAATGCAGTCCTACTCTGAGTATGCCCTGAACCCGATTGTCCACATTAGTCCCAGTCCATCCCTTTTTTTTTGGGTCCATCTTGATCATCTACGGCCAGTGACAACACATGAATGTGCGACAAGTGGTGGCTCACAGCACATGGATGTGCCATGGTTGTGCGACTGCATCCTCGCACAGCAGAGGGCACACGGGTAAGGAAGGGCTCACTGAGTACTAAGTCAATGTGTCAGATTCCTGGTCGTTGATCAAGGCCATGGATGACCTAAAACGAAGCTGTATCTGGACGCAATTAGAGATAGGTACGTAGGATAATGGAAGCCCACACAGTGTGAGCTACGAAGCATCTGAACGCAATTAGGCAAAACCTTTGGGGGTCCTCTTGGGGGGCTGGGCTCTGAACTGATTTGAGTGGGGAATTAGAGAGTATTCGAGGGAAAAGAGGAAGTCTGGAAACAGTTGGGGAAATGGAACGGGGAGAGAAAGAAAGGGCGGGTGGGGGAAACGAGAAGAAATCCGCGGGAGGGGTGGGGGGGGGGGGGGGGGACCGGGGGACCCCTTACCTTCTCCTGGACGCATCGAGCTCGAAGACAGCCTTCTTCAGCAGTGCGTCAGACTGCATGTCAGACGACGATGTTCTATGAAGACCAGCAACACCCCTCTGTAAAACACCCAAACGAAGAAACAAAACAAAAAAAAAAAGACGCGAAGAAATCAATCGCCCGAACGAATAATAAAAATAAAAAAAATAGACGTGAAGAAATCAATTCGTCGAAACAACAAATGATTAAGGCTCCAGAGTACGTGTCGTATAAGCAACAACAAAAAAACACACACATACGTAATATGCACCGCTTGGCGCGCAATCAAACGCGATTCGAAATCCAGAGAAAAGAAAAGTTGCTATGAACTTTCAATCCTGGGGCCAAGTCCCACTAGCTGAGTTTCCTCAACGCCTGAATCTGGACGTGTTCGTGGAGATGTGCAGAAATCGCGTTGAGTTTCCTCAAACGCAAATCTCCACGAACACGTCCAGATTCAGGCGCTAGTGGGACTTGGCCCGCCGAAAGAGTTGAATACTGAGTACCATTATATGTAAGAATGCTTCCCTTTTTTTTTCCGTTCGATTGCTGATCAGACTGAATGAAATATTGCAGCACAAAACGTCGCCCCATAAAAAAAGGAAAAAACAAAGAAAATCATTGTCAGTCTTCTCCGCCGGCGCACAAACAGATCGCTAGTACTGCACACCATTGCATGTAAGAACACACTTTTTTTTATTATATAGTTAAGTAAGAATCCCATTATACTTGTCGCTTTGCTGGCCTTGGTGCCGACTTTCTTTCCCAGAGTTGGTGGGTTAACAGTGCAAGCGGTCTAAAATGTATGTGGTCATTCCTGACTGAAACTTATCCGCCAAAGCTGGGTGGTGGTCCCAGGTTCATTTTTCCGGGTTGCTTGTGAGGAATTCCCGGCCTCAATTTTCTTTTACATGAAATGCAACGTTGGTTATGTAACAAAAAAAAAGAAGACTTTTCTCTTTTTTTTACTAGTCGATTGCTGATCAGATTCTATGAACTAATTCGGCACAGGACGTCCAAAAAAAAAAAAAAAAAAAAAAAAAAACACAATCAACGCACAAACAGATCGGAAGAACTGCACAGACCAGTGCTTAAAAAAAAAACAAAAAAAAACAAAAAAAACAAAACAAAACAAAACAAACAAACAAACAGAAAGCAATTGATATTTCCAATCAGAGCTTGAGGGCGGGATCCTCACAGTCTACCCGGAGATGGAACTGGAGCATTACCCAGTGTGTGTGTGTGTGTGTGTGTGTGTGTGTGTGTGTGTGTGTGTGTGTGTTTTCCCAAAGGCGACGGCCTTCAGTTATCATCATTGAACAGACCGGCCCTGGTATTTCAGAATTATTTTATTATGTTCATCTTACTACAGCTGGATTCGTACGTGGGTCTATATTTCAACAGTTCATTTGGTGTACCAACTGAGCTACCAGTAGGCCAGTTGGTGCATTCCCCAGTTTCGGTGACGGGGGCCGAGCCCCTGAGGGAGGGGGGGGGGGACCACAGACCATTGCATCGAAAGTGTGGACAGCTTTTTTTCATTTTGTTTTGTTTTTCCCAGAAGGGCGACAGCCTTGAGACATAGTCATTGAGCTGAACGACCCCAGGAGCGAGGTCCCACTAGCAACAAGGATTGGATTGAACGCCTGAATCTGGACCTGTTCTCGAAGAGGTGCAGAAATTCGAGATTGAACTGCTTGTCTGCACCCCCCTCATCTAATCTATTTTTTTAGTTAAAAAAAAAAAAAAAACTCGTCGAACTGACCAACCCACACGCGTGGTGCCAACCAGGTCAGATAGCCGGCTTGCTCGGGCTGGTCGGGATTATACCTTCTTTTCCCCCAATAGCACGTATGGTCATTCTCGCTGCCTGCACCCGGACTGAAAGGTGAGCCAAATACGGCTATAATGACCGTACGTTCTATTGGAGGAAGACGGTAGTACGGCCTTTGGCCAAAGCGGGTGTAAGTGTGGCCGTCATTGAGTGAGTCGTGTGTGATCATGTTGGGAGAGTGCTGGCCTAAGAAACTACTATTGCTCTTTCCTTTGGAACTACTTTTTTCTTTCTTTTTTACTGCCATTGCTCTTTTCTTTGGAACTACTTTTTTCTTTCTTTTTTACTGCCATTGCTCTTTTCTTTGGAATTACTTTTTTCTTTCTTTTTTACTGCCATTGCTATTTTCTTTGGAACTACTTTTTTCTTTCCTTTTTACTGCTATTGCTCTTTCCTTTCGAACTACTTTTCTCTTTCTTTTTTACTGCTATTAATCTATGGGGGTGGGGAAAGATGAAAAGGGAGACGCAGCTACTGGCAAAATGTTCGGCTTTTGTGTTTATGTTAGCTGGTCCCCCTTCCAGGCGCCCATTACCTGGGCAGGGGGCAACATGCACCCTGAAACACTCGGGCAAGGCCACCATTCATGCAGGGGTTCCGCGTATATACCCTTAGAAGTATAGGTAGGTAGGTAGTGAAAGGTGAATTGAGAGAAAAATAAATTTTTTCTTCTTATTATTATTTTAAAAAATAACAAAGCACAAACTGACCAGCCCGATGTTCGAGCACAAAGTTTGAAGTCCATCGCCTTCCCATTTTTCAATGGCGGCGGTTTAAAAGCACCCGTGTACATAAAAAATAGGCACATATATCGTCACAAACAGAACTGCCCAGTAAACCGTAGGCAGAGAGAGAGAAGAGGACAACAAACGAGGGGCTGTGACAAACTGTTTCGTCGGAGTTTCATATACACATATACATGGTTACCAGCCCGTACGTACGGAGGCCGTCGGGCCAACCTCCTTCGGGCATTCGGGGTCCCGGGGGCCGAACCCCTCCGAACCTGAAAGAGGTTCGGACCCCGCCAAAAAATATTTCAGGGCCTAAAAATTATTATTTTTTCTTGAATTTTTTTTTGTGAGTTCTCTATGATGTGAGGTACATGCCTCTAAATTTTGAGATCATTTTGCTTAGCCAAAAAAAAAAAAAAAAAGCCAAAGATGGCGGTGTCAAAACGTGCTCACCCACTCACTATTTTGTTTTTTTCTCTTTTCTCTTTTTGTTTTCTTTGTTTCGGGGCCTATACAATTTTATTATTTTTTTTACATTTTTTTAATGAGTTGTGTATCATGTGAGATACACATATATGAATTTTCAGCGAATTTGACTAAGCCAAAACAAAATGAAAAATCTCCAAAGATGGAGGTGTTTAAAATGTGCCGGCCGGCACACTGATTTTAATTCTCTCCTCAAATTAGTTATTTCTATTAATTTTTTTTGTTTTCCGTATTTTATTTTTATTTCAAATTTGGTAACGAATTTGGATGTCACTCAGAGGCAAATGTTGTTCAGTTTATCTTTCTGCATAACATATATGTTTTCAGATTTTTTGGACGACTTTTCTTTTTTTTTTTTTTTTTTTCCGCGTTCGGCCCGAACGGCCGAACGAACGGCCGAACGTGTCTACAGGGGGGACGGCCGAACGTGTCTACAGGGGGGCCCAGACGTTCGGGCGTTCGGGTTCGGGCGTTCGGCCCGTCCCGAACGCCGGCAACCTTGCACATATATATATAGTAAATGATACATTCTCGTACACAAAACCTGTATTCTTTTAATTTCAAGCGGATATTTTGCCAGCACCAGGTCTGTCTACTAGTCGCAACCTGCAATCAAAAACAATTTCCTTTTTTTTTCCGACAGCGAGATAAGAAGGGTGACGATCGAGCTGCTGGAAGCTCTAATGACTCATATTAAGTGTTTAATTTTATTTTCGTGTGCATACGCGGAGGCAATGACACAATAGTAACAATACTAAATAATTCTCGTACATAAAAAAAGGTCCTTAGAGAAACAAATGTGCAATATTCTCGGTCGCAAGCAGCATGTCTGTATAGATGAAATCGTGAATGTATGTTTAAACAAAAAAAAAAAAAAAAAAACTTCGTGCGCGTACTGTCGGACAACCTCCCTCGAGCGCCTACATTTTGTTTTTGTCATACGCGAACGTCTCCATATGAACGCATCTATGCAGCCCAAAGGCTATCCCTAGACGCTTTTATAAATATATATATATATTCTAAATTCTAAATTTCAGTTCCATTCAACGCATCTATGCAACCCAAAGGCTATCCTCAGGCTAGACGTTTTTATATTTTCTATTTTTTTATTTTAAAATTCAGTTCCATTGAACGCACCTATGCAACCCAAAGGCTATCCCTAGACGTGTTTATATATATCGTCACAAATATATATATTTTTTAATTCTAAAATTCAGTTCCATTGAACGCACCTACGCAACCCAAAGGCTATCCCTAGACGTGTTTATATATATATATTTTTTTAATTCTAAAATTCAGTTCCATTAAACCATGACGAGGAGGCCGGGGCCGTCACAGTCACGCCAAATTCTTTTTTATTATATATTTTTTACACCGAAAAAAGAAGTACTGGGAGTGCTACCCAACTTTGGGGCTAATTAATTAGCACCAACGTGGTCTTAGCTTTGCTTGATAAGACGCTCCGCACATCAAGAAAACAAAATCTCTTTTTTGTTGAAAAAGTAAAACAGCTGTCAGCTGTAACTGACACCAAGGTGGTCTTTTACCCAACTTTGGTGCTAATTATTACACCGATTAACACTTACAGTCCAGAATAACCCAAAAAAAAAAAAAAAAAAGATCAACAAACCAAAATCGCCACATTAAGCTTGAAAAATTTACAAAATATTAAAAATTTCCACCTTAGCCATCGAGGATCGGACAATGGGCCGCACTCAACGACTCACCAAATGTGCAAAATGAGAATGAATTTTCCGATAAAAAATGGAAAGATACACCGCCATAATTTGTCTTCTGTGCATGTGGTGAGTTGTGGAGCGAGGCCCAATACCAACCCGTAAATTATACGTCCACTGCGTGTTATACCTATTAGGGACTTTCTTTCTTTTCCTCCCACGAACATATGAAGAAGAATAATGACAAGCAATGGCCAATTGCTCTGCACACGTTCAACAAGATCTGATTACAAGAAAAACAAGCGTCACGGTGTTTTGATGCCAAATCTTTTCCTATCTTCTTTTTTTTTCCTTGAAGCGACTTTGTTTTTTGATTGCAGACCGTATTATTATAAACTCAAAATTTTGGCCACTTAGGTTTTCTATTCAAGCCAAAGGACAATTCACGATCAAGATATTCCTTCATTCCGAAAGCATGCATTTCCTCTCTCTCTCTCTCTCTCTCTCTCTCTCTCTCTCTCTCTCTCTCTCTCTCTCTCTCTCTCTCTCTCTCTCTCTCTCTCTCTCTAAATATCGCAATAACAGTGTCTCAATGCAAAACGAGCGACAGTCAAAACGTATCTCCTTTCACCGATGTACTGTCGAAGCGAAGTTTCAATACGTGCATGAGAAAGGAAAGTGATAGTCGAACGCTTTTTTTAATTATCTTCTGTTTATCTACAACCAGTAATCGTATGATCAACATGGAATGTTGATTTGAGATAAGATCCGGATCCCTTCGCAACCTCCACCCCCTCCAACCACAACATAATGGATATCAATCATTGTCAAACACGAAACTACCCTTGACTACCTAACATCACAATTTCGGCGATTACCGGTACACAGAGTATAGTCCATGTATGAAACATTGATACCTCGCATCGCTTCTCTTTGTCGATCTGTGTAAGCGGCATTAGTCACATCACGGAAAACAAAGAATCATCACTCTCTCTCTCTCTCTCTCTCTCTCTCTCTCTCTCTCTCTCTCTCTCTCTCTCTCTCTCTCTNTCTCTCTCTCTCTCTCTCTCTCTCTCTCTCTCTCTCTCTCTCTCTCTCTCTCTCTCTCTCTCTCTCTCTCTCTCTCTCTCTCTCTCTACACTTCCATCTCGATCGTATCAATAACGCCTGAACGCAGAATGAACAATAGTCGATATGCATCTTCGTTTCACTGATCGATAGTCGAAGGCGAAACTTCCCTCTGTTCATGAGAGAGACTTCGAGGGAGATAATTGATAATCAAACGCAAGGGAGTGAGAATTGACAGTCGAACGCCTCCATCTTTTCCTTCCTGCCTTTCCTTTTCAACATGTAATCACTTTCTCTTATTGTCATGGACCCTTTGTAACCCCGGACTGTCAAATTGGGAACAAAAGAAAATAACTTGGCGTTCGCCTGTTCATGCGGCTACAGTTCTCGTAGCCGGGCCGTAGTATCCAGTGCGGACATCTCCTAAAACTACCTACCGTTACTGGAAACCATTTTCTTCTGTTCACACGGTTCACATCAGGTTCAAAGAAGATAGATATCGTAAAAAGATCCAGACTTTCATTTCATGATCGACCCAAAATAATATATATCGTACATAACATATCCTCAAACAGAACTGCCCGGTAAAGCGTAGGCAGAGAGGGAGAAGACGGCAAACGAGGGGCTGTGACAAACTGTTTCGTCGGAGTTTCACCGACTCATCAGGAGGCTGAACCCTCAACAGTCTGCAGAATCCCCTAACTGATTACACTGTATGTGATAATCCACCTTAACCCTGGTTGTGCTTAAGCATCAACGACTGCCCGACATCTCATACCCTGAGGTGGGCACCACCCACTGCCCTCAAAGGTACCTGTGACGAAAATCAAAGCAGACTATCACTCACGCCAGATGGTAAACTTTACAGACTGTCGGTTCACGCCATCACAAGCCAGCAATATATATAAATGACAACCACCACCTGCCCATATGTATTCAATATAGAATCCACCAACCTATACTTAAATTTTTAAATATGCGCAAACAGTATTTTATTACTCTATAGGTACATTGAAAATAAGCACCAATATCAGAATTCTTGCTTCAGATCATAGCATCAGAGGCAAAGCTGTCACAAGAGTCTGACAAAAAAGCGCCGAAAGAAAGCAATGAATCAAAAAAAAAAGAAATCCACGACGATTCTGAAAACAGGCCGAGCCAATTCATGTCAACAAAAAAAAGAAAAAGTGATGTCACGAAGACGCGGACGAATAAGGCAAAGAGGAAGTAAAAGAGGAGAAAGAGGAGGAAAGAGAAGACAGGGAGGGGGAAAGAGGGAGGAGGAAAGCGGGAGGAATAGAGGGAGGAAGAAAGAGGGAGGAGGAAGGAGGGAGGAGGAAAGAGGAAAGAGGAGCCAGGGCATACGAAAGAAAGGCACGGCAGATAGCTTTGAAATATAGGCAAACGAAGAAATCGGGGGGGGGGGGGGGGGGAGAAGGGGAGGAATTTGGGAGATGCGAAACGCGAGGTCAGCAGCGGAAGCGGAGAAAGAAAGGTAGGGGAATGTGTCCAAAGGTGGAGATCGTAAAAATGAGAGTAGTTGCTGCAAAACCAAAAAGGTGAAAATCCAAGAGGAAGATCCCTGCAAATAAAAGAAGAAGAAGAAGAAGAAGAAGAAGAAGAAGAAGAAGAAAAGGAAGAAAGCCGGCACATTAATTTGAAGTGGAGGGAACCAAGGTTGTGGGAAAGGGACAAGAGGAGAATCTGAAGTAGAGAAGGAGCAAAAGGGAGCGTGGCGCATATTGCAGAGCAAAAGGGAGCGTGGCGCATATTGCACGGGGACAACTCGACCAACGCGAAAAGAACTCGAAGTCGACAAATAGTTGCAGGAGCTCACAACGTAAGTATACCTGAGCAAATTGTGAGTGCGAGCTGGAGGTGGCGCGCAGCGACACCACCAAATGCGGTCCATTTCTACAACCGCACATGGTAGCTCGACTTCGAGCAGCGGGGACATAATTTCCTCTACCTCTCTCTCTCTCTCTCTCTCTCTCTCTCTCTCTCTCTCTAGCGAGCGAGCGAGCGCGCGCGCTCCCCGAATATTAAATTAATCGTCTGATGTGTTCAGACCTCGAGGGCGCGCATTCCATCCCGCAAAGGCAGCCATCCAGCTTCACCCACACATCACGCCGGGTTCGCCCTGCCCAGAAGAACCAGATCCCTCTCTCTCTCTCTCTCTCTCTCTCTCTCTCTCTCTCTCTCTCTCTCTCTCTCTCTCTCTCTCTCTCTCTCTCTCTCTCTGTGTCTGTCTGCGCGTTGATCTTCAAATTTGCGCGCCAACGGGTGTGCTCGAGCGTGTTTCTGCCTCTGTATGGTGTGACAATGTCCCTGGTACTGATCCCCCGTCGATTCCTTGCCGCAATTGACCTCGCGTGCGCGAGGCCGGTAGAACTTCACGGCAATAGTGACTAATTGGCTCGATTCCATGGGCAGTCTTCACGTAATTTAGAACGTACACCCCCCGATCGTAACCGTGCACCACGCGCCATAGTCACTCTCTCTCTCTCTCTCTCTCTCTCTCTCTCTCTCTCTCTCTCTCTCTCT